GAATGGAATGGAATGGAATGGAATGGAATGGAATGGAATGGAATGGAATGGAATAGAATAGAATAGTTGGAAGGGACCTTGGAGGTCTTCTAGTCCAACCTCCTGCTCAAGAAGGAAAACCCTATAACATTTCAGACAAAAGGTTGTTCAATCTCTTCTTTAAAACTTCCACTGTTGGGATATCCTAATGATGCAAAATAAACTCCATTCTTTATGTATTAATGTGCCTTGTCATGACGCTAATATGAAATGGTGGAGCTTGCATTATGATGACACAAGCCATGTGTGGGTCCCTCTAATTTAGAGGGCACGTATATCATCCTGATTTTCTCTTTTGCCTGGGAATGTGTGATATAAAGGAGTTTCAGAAGCATGTTTTGTGCTTCGGTATCACCGCACGTCTTCATTTTGCATTTCAAGACAGTGGATGAGCAAAAGCCACAATAACCCAGGTGAAGAATTCAGAAATCCAAATTATTTCAGAAATGGAATGCAGTTCAACTGGATGTGCTTATACTACAAACCCCTGTATTTATAGATAGGTGGGTTTGGAATCCAAATTGCATTTTCTCTATTTACTTTTAACGAAGAGTTATCTTCTCCCCTAGATACAGAGTTTTGATAAGAAGTTTTAAAATGTAATATTCATTTTTCTTGAACAATGACGGAAAGTTGTATCCATTAGCCTTGTGAGGTAATCCAGGTAAGAAGCACAGCCAGGAATTTTAACTTAAACTTTAATGTAAAATTGCATTAGCAGAATCTTGCTAATCTGAAAGTACTTCTTCCATCCTTCATTTTTACTTTCCTAAATACCACAGATGGTTCCTTCTGATATTATTTTACCATCCCTCCTCTTTTAGACTAAAATTTAATTTATCAGGCAGGGGGTCTCCCTCTTATCTCCCAAGATCATTGCCATACACTGTACCATTACAAAATCCCAAACTACACGTACTGATTTACTCTTCTGTAAGCAAGTTCGATGTAATCAGAAAAGGCTCTGTGGAAGTGAAAGTTGGATTTTGAAGAGGAAGGATACTTTTGAACTGTATTATTGCAGAAGACTCCTGGGAATATCAGGGATAGCCAAATATAGCTATAGCAAGTATATCATGGATAATCAGAGTCCTCACCTAAAGCACAAATGACCAGGCACAAATTATACAAATATATATTAATATACAACATATTGTGCAAAGACGTAGCTCCGGACAAGTCTATAATTCTGGGAAAGGTAGAAAGAAAGTAGAGGACAACAAGGAGATAAGAAAAGACTCAATTAAAGCAATAATGTTTGCACCATTGAAAGACTTGAAGGATCAGGAAGAAAATAAATCATTGTGGTTGATAAGAGTGAACACATACTTGATGGCACATAATCAAGTTTGGAATTAAATGTAGACACAGGAATTTAGAAGAGGTTTTGGCAATATACTTATAATCACTGAAGAAAGTTTCTGTTTTAGATACTGCTCATACTTTCTAATGTAAACGGAACCTTTTAGTTAGGGTGATGAAGCAAGATATTTCATTATGGTGTTTACACATTTTTCTTTGCTAACTCAAATTCAACATGCCGTTCCTGGTAGAGTGCTTTGAACATGTTCTGTCTTTATTGGACTGTTTTTAGGGACTGGCATATGTTTTAAATATCTAGCTCTATTTTAATTCCCTTTCTTATACTTAAAAAAAACTAGATTTGTTGCTAGAACATTCACCAATTTATACAGATACTGAAGAGGTAAATCTGTTTTTTTTTTCCTTAGTGGTAACAAGCAAGCACTTGATAGAACATTCATTGCTGTATCTCCAACCACCAACTTTAACCAACAGCTCCAAACTTGATCAAGGGATTAAGAGGTCACACTTTTTCTGATTTCCATAAGCCACACAACCCTGTTTCAAATATTTCCCTTATCACTTCAATTCAACAGTTTAATGGAAAACTGTTGATTATTTCATTAGCAACTGATTCCCCATAAAGATGCGATTTCTCAGACTTGATAGAATTGCTTGAATTTGATAAAAGCAAAACCAACCCCTCTGAATACATATCAAACTGGCTGTGGTGCATAATAGCTACCGTTGAAGCCCATTTAAATAGTGGTAAGTGGCTACAGGGTACTTACCTGTGAATATAGTATCCCCATGTTTTTCCTTTTGCTGCCACTTGAAATCCTTTCATTAAATGTCTTTAAAATGTGATCCACAAAGCCTTTTTTTAGCTGAATATGGTGAAGAGCAAACTATCCCAAAGACTGTACATTTTCTTTAAGTTCCCTATGTTCTTCCCACGCTTGCTTTCTTAATCAGACACAGAATGAGAGGCTCCACCCAGTGAAGTAGAGGGGTGTGTTCACTTCCTGCAAGCTCTCACAACTCTGTACAAGTTACAACAGAGAAGGTATTGGCACACTCTGTCAGTGAAGCAGTAAAAAAAAGTGGTTGGCTTAAGGAGGTTTGCAAACAACCACAAAGATAAAACTAACAACCATACAGTTTAACTATATTGCTAAGGAGAGTGGAATGAAACTTCAGATATGCTGAAAGACAAAAACATGCAGGTAGGGAACTTTAAAAAGCTTTCACTTCCTATATAATAACGCCATAATCATTCTCTATATGAGTCCCATGTTTAATCTGCCTAGTTTTATGGAGAGATGAAATGAAGTTCGTACATGTTAACAGCAGGTCAAAGGCCTGATGGCAGTTGGAACACTAGTTCAATATGGAAGAGAAAGAGAGGAGGGAGGGAAGGAGGGAGAGAGGGAGAGAGAGAGAGAGAGAGAGAGAGAGAGAGAGAGAGAGAGAGAGAGAGAACAAATACATTATTCAAATGTTCCATCTTTAAGGTATCCCAATGACATATCTTAAAGGTAAGTCCACCTAAAGCATTATTTTTACCAAGTTACCTTGGTCAAAATAGTTGGGATTACAGCTCTCCACCCACCTATGCCATCTATATTCAATTATATTTTTTAGATAGGTTTTAGACTAGGTTTTTAATTATTATTTTAATTATTTTAATTTTTAAATATTCTGTAGTGTGATTGTGATGTGGTGTTTGGTACACTGTGCTGGAGTAGCTTTCAAATTTCATTGTATTTGTAGAATGCAATGACAATAAAGGTATTCTATTCTATTCTCTAGTTGTCTGCATTTCAGTGTGGGAGAAATTTTTTTTAAAAAAACTTGTTTAGTGCACCTAATCAACTTTGGCTGATCTCAAAAGGCCTAGCTGGGAATTTGAAAAAAAAAAAAAAACCATACAGGAGAAAAGAAATATCTATATTGTTGTTGTTGTTTTAGGAAAAGAAAAAGAAATAATAATCAGGAGTTGACCCTAACTCAAAATCTTACTTCCTGATGCTAATTAACTGCACATCGGAGCTTTTGGGACCAATTGGAGAATGTATTTAAGCAATGTCTGGGGAACAAGCATAGACTCTCCACTCCAGATATGTCAAACTTGATTTCATTGAGGGTGTATCAGGGTTGTGTTTGACCTTAGGGGGCCCGGGTGGGCATGGCCTGGGTGGACATGGCCAGCTCGATGTCATTTGTGTCAGGGGTACCAGTGGCAGCCCGAGCCCTCTGCCAATGAAAACAGGCTCCCAAGCTCCATTTTAAGATGCAATGACCTCCTGCAACCCTCTGCTAGCGAAAACGGAGCTCAGAAGGGCCATATGTGACCCTCCTGAGCTCCATTTTCACTGGCAGGGCCAGTCCTTCTCTGTTTCCGCAGGCCAAATCTAAGCACCCCATGGGCCGCATCTGATCCCCAGGCCTTGAGTTTGACACCCCTGATCCACTCCTACCCCAAGCACTACTGAGTAATAGTGTATAGCCAGATAAGTATTGAATGTAGAAGTAAATAAGCAAGTACAGGCACAGTTTGCTTTAAGAATACATTAGGAATAGCTAGTCATAAATCAAAAATAGACACAATGCTACTTATGAGTCAAGTTGCCTACTCTCATAACTGGATGTTCCAGATTAAATACCTAACATACTTGGAGTTGTTACTTTGGTCGAAGAATTAACTATTTCCAATAGTTCCATCTAATGCAGTTTCAATAATCACATTTATTATAGCAGAAGCTGAGTTGTTGTTTTTTTTTTACAGGATTGTACCACACACATATAGGAAAAATAACTTTGTTTTGGTTCCTTGAGCTCTAAGTTAAATACTGAAAATGGAAAATTATTAAATCAAGTTGCAAACAAGTTTCTATAAGGTGGTGAGAAAAATCATGATTTTGTTTTTGTTGTTTTTTAAAAGCATGCTATTATGGGAATTCATCTGTCTTATTGGCTTCTTTAGTTAATTAACATAATTAAATGTCATCATGCTTTCATTGCACTGACCACAAATTATTCCACACACCTAACTAAGTGGACTTTCATTTAAGTTCTGAACAGTTATATTTGATTAATTTTCTTTCTAAATATGCACTTAAGTTGCTCTGATTGCATCAGTCTACTTTAAAATTGTTTATGATTTGGAGGTACGCTTTTCAATGGAAAGGGGCTCAGTGACATGCTTAATAAATACAGCTAACTCTCTCTCTCTCCCCCCCCCCCCCAAGTTAGTTAATTTAATTAAAATTTCAATAATTTAGAAATTCCATTATTTAATTTGGGGAATTTAACATGGAAGAATGTAATTGTCTAACTGTTGATAGACGAATTCTGCCAAGGATGATCCTTTAGGAAAAGTTCTGGCTTCTTTTGCTAACAACATTCATTTTAAGTGGGAGTTAGAAATGATTTTATTGTTGGCCTTTGGCAATAATGTTTTTTTTTTTTTTAATTTCAAAAGGCACAAAAAGATTTGCTATCCTTGACTGAACATTAACCACTAAGAGGAAGAAAGAGAAGATGGCTCATATGTGATTGCCAAAAAGCTTTATGACTATCCAAAACAAAAAACAAAAATAATAATAATAAAAAAAGGACACAGGTAGCAGGTGGAGGGAGACTACTAGATCTTCAAGGAAGAATGTAAAGAGCAGAGATTCAGCAGATTCTGACCAGTTCTGGATAACTGGTAGCGGAAAATTTGAGTAGTTCAAAGAACTAGCAAATACCACCTCTGCAGTAGTGGGGTTTAATTTTTTTTTTACTGCCGATTCTGTGGGTGTGGCTTGGTGGGCGTGGCAGGGGAAGGATACTATAAAATCTCCAGTCACAGGTGGTATTTTCCAGTTCTCCGAACTACTCAAAATTTCCGCTACCGGTTCTCCAGAACTGGTCAGAACCTGCTGAATACCAGCTCTGCACCTCTGACTGGTCCCGCCCCCATCTATTCTCTGCCTCCCGAGTCCCAGCTGATTGGCTGGGTCTTCTTTTGTTGCCCTGCACAGGAGAACGGAGCTGAAAAGGGGTGGGGAGGGAATGGGATTTTGCAAAAAACTTCCCCTGGAGTGGGAAGGGAATGGGAATTTTACAGTATCCTTCTCCTGTCATGCTCACCAAGCCATGCCATACCCGCCAAGCCACACCCACCAAAACTGGTAGTAAAAAAAAATTGAACCCCACCACTGGTAAAGAGGTAATCTAGAACTTATAGAGTGATTCCCAGGAAAGCTCAAATTGAGCTGAGATTGGCAAGGATGTTAAGAATAACAAAGAAGTCTTCATTAGATATATAGGAAGAAGGTCAATATAACATCTGCTTGGGTAACAGTGCTAACAAGTGACAGAGGAAAAAACCAGAATCACTCATCTTCTCTTTTGCCTCAGTGTTCTCTACAAGAAAGTAAATATTTATCCAGGGAACTGGGAATAGAAGACTGAAGGGTCAGCAATGAAGCAGGACATTGATAGGAATATGATCAGGGAGTATCTTCTTACTTTGAATGAATTTAAATTCCAGGTCCAAATGAATGGATAAGCAGCTAGACACTATATCTTAAGAAAATAGTTTGAAGGAACTGGGAATGTTTAGGCTTGAAAGCTTAAACTTCATCTTATTATGTCATTCTTCAAATAACTATAAGAATGCCACATAGAAGGTCAAGTCCAAAATGTCTACTCCTCCAGTGTGCAGGATAAAAAAATAATGGATTTAAGTTACAGGAGGAAAGTTTCTAATTCACTGTTAGAGGAAAGAAAAGCCTTTCTGACTGGCAGTACCACTTGGCAGTGGAACCAATTATTTGGGGAAACAATAACTTATTCTTAAGTTGTGTGTATTCAACTTACTGGATGTATTCAGACGAAAACATCATCTATCAGAAATGCTTTAATTTAGATTCCTGCCCAGAGCAAGAAGGTAAACTCAGCATTTCTTTCCCTTTCCATTTCTCTGATTTTGATGAACTTTCTTTAATTGCTATTAATCAATTAGAACCCTTTTTTTTTTTTACAGAATTGGATAAAAATTTCAGGCCCAGAAACTCCTTCTGAGGGAATGAAATATGACACACTTCAGACCAGTAAGCGTGTCATAGTAAGGGCAACTTCTACTCAAGTGACTTTTATTATTCAATTTTTCTGTGAATGGACTAATGTGTTTTTTTACAACTTGTCAGAAGAATTGGATGTTAACATAGTAGTTGTTTTTCATAAATCTGCTTAGGAGGAAAAACTCTTTAAAAGGAAATGTTAGGATTCTATGTATAGAGAGAGATTAAAAAGGATTTGCTTTCTTCCATTACTGTACATATTTCTATGTATATAGCATGGACTGACCCCACATACCATTTAAAAAGAGTAATTGCAGGAAACAAGGATTGTTTTGGATCAAGAATTCTCAGCCTAACTTAACTGACAGTATAAAATAAGAGGCAACTGGACTTTGTTTTTCTTTGAAGACATTTCACTTCTCATCCAAGAAACTTCTTCTATCAGAACTGAAGAAGCTTCTTGGATGAGAAGCAAAATGTCTTCAAGGAAAAACGAAGAAGTCCAGTTGCCTCTTGAAAAAACACCGTTGGGACACCTTTGACCTGGATAACTAAGAATCTCCATAGACATAAAGTAAGATCATATGCACTGTTATGTACTTGAAGGTACCGATTATTAAAATAATAAAATATTTTGTTTCTCTGACTTTCTCCTTATTCCTTCTCAAAACATCTATGGGAAATAATCTCTGAGGAAACAGGGAAGAAGAAAAATATCTAAGAATCTATACACTTGAGTTTCTCCTTTCTTACCTCTAGGGTCAATCCTATCCATCCAACTGAACTCAGTTCAGAAACAACCTTTGTTAAAAACTTTTGAAGTCTGGAATTTTCATTGTTTGATGTATTGTTTGGCAATATCAGAAATAATTCAACATGCACAAGTGAAATAGCAATAGCAATAGCCCTTAGACTTATATACCGCTTTATAGTGCTTTACAGCCCT